GACCTCAATGTTTGTCACAAGTTGTGACAGAACAACGGTGAAGTATAACACACAAATCTCAAGGGCACCTTTATACATGGTTCATTCGTTATTCTGCGACCTTTCACGTTTTATTATTTACAGTGAGAGCATATACGATATATCATCTAATAGAGGATAGGAGCAAGGAAGTTGTAGGTCCGTGGGTGCGAGTATGAATGTGTGTCTAAGTATAAATGTGTTCTATCTATCTTCGGCCGTTCTTGCAACCACAATCACTTTCACATCAACACACAGACCTCACACATATTGAAAATTATAAGAACGAAAGTGAATGTGTTAATAGAGAACTGAAGAGCTAAATCGAGTAACGAATTTATGGAGTAGCGAAGTAATGAACCACCGAAGCTACAAATGAAGGGATTATAAATCAAATGAAACAAGGAAATAATGAAGGAACAATGTAACGAACTGACAGAGAAACGACTTGAAGCACACCAAAGAAATGAATGTCACTTTTGGATTTGTGCATGATGAGCCAACGCAGTTTGTGTGCATGGACACATTTCGCTGAGTGTATGATTATCAACTAGTTCAGGAAACTAAGAAAAGTCAATCTAAATGAAAATATAAATAAAATATTTTGGATGATTACTAATGAAGAAACTGTTAACATATACTATTAACATGATGTTAACGATTGGTTTGCTTCGATACTTACATGATTGGTTGTTTATTCGTCATGGAATTCAACTGAATAGAGAGTCAATATGTTTGATGAGAGAAAAAGCTAGAAGAAAAAGGATTATATATAAATTTTTGTATAGAAAGTTACAATAACTTGTTTAGATCTAAGAGAGTATAGACTTGCTTCCCATGTAAAAAAAGAGTATGAGAAAAATCAGATTAAAATCGATTAGAAGTCGATTAAAACTATTCGTAATCTTTGATAATCAGAGCAAGTTATTCTGTTATAATCTATTGATTAAAATCGATTGAGCTTGGTTTTAATGGATCCTTAATCTAATGAGTAATTGAATAGAACTCACTGTAATCATTGCAAATTCATCTACGCTTTCCATATGGTATAATGATTGTATCCTACGAACTATATACTAATACCTATACTTATTTTTCTACAGCCTTTACACCTATACCCTTAGACCTACGCCTTTATAGCTATATTCTTACTGTTCCTCTCACGGCTATATCATTAAAAGTAGACCATTAGACCTATGCGCTTAACATTATTGTTATAACTATATCCTTATAATTGTATCCTAAGACCTACATTCTTACACTTTTGCTCTTGAAATGGATGTGTTTGTATTGTGAATTAATAAGATCTGGCACGTTTTAGACGAAGTAATTCGTTCACTCTCAAATTTACAAATTTGGAATTTTAGATGCCTTTGACGTACCATGATTGAGGTATCCGATTTCAAGGTATTTAAAACATAGCCATAGATACTTTAGAATTATTTGAATAGAGTTGTTTTGTTATATACTAGGCTACGTTTGAAAATAATCAGTATCCAAGGTTTTGTTGACATTTCCCTGGTCGACGATTACGAACTTCGTATAGGACCTCGATACCACCGTTTACGGTCGTATTTTACCGTAATACATGGCTCAGTATTATGATCGTATAGCGCCATGACCATATACGCTGGGATATGATCGTTTACGGACTGCGTATACAAAAATCGTAAACGACCGTATTTTTCTCTGTATATTGCTGTATTAGTTCGTATATGGCACGGAGGTTTATGATCGTAATACTGAGCCATGTATTTGGTCGTATTTCTCCATATACGATCGTTTACGACCGTGCTTGTTCGACTGAGGTTCCTATAAAATTAATACTACATTTCCTAATTTCGATGTTTTGTTAAAATTTGTTAACAAATTAGTAAAAATCAATGAACTTTATGCTTGAAAAATAGTATATACAAAAGATGTTCATAATTTAAGTGCACTTATGTGTTACTTCTTGATTAAGCTAGAAATATGATTAACCTACAAGTTCCAATCACTTACAAGGAGAACAAAGATCTTTCCGATAAAATCATGTAAAAAGGTCCTATCATATCAATAATGTTGTTATTATCTGAACTTCTAAGTCAAGAAAAAGTGAGAATAATAATTATTGTTCCTTTTTATTTGAAACTCTACGTCTTTTATTACACATTATATCTGCTTTTTGTTTATTCTGGTAGAATCGAAACTGATCTAAATCGGTACCAATATTTTACTAACATGCAGTGTGAAGTCTTCAACCAGTTGTTCGCACCACTTTTGCAAATGTATGCTACATCTGAGTCGGCATAGAGTAGGACAATCAGCGAAACAGAAATCTTAACTACTACATTTTCACCGATCAATTACGCTTGAAATTGATAAAAATCATGTATCTGTAGATTTCCGCTTAACCTTTTCCACACGAGCCTTCAACTATCGCCTATTTAAATCAGTATTGCTTGATTATAAAAAAATTTAGATAAATTCTTCTTAACTTTTCAATAACCTAGTCGATTATAAATATTATCAATGGTTATAGAGAAAAATAAAATCATGAACTACTGATAAAACTTGATCACTCTGTAGAATCTATTGGAATCGATTAATAAAAAGCGATACAAATCAATGCAAAAGTATTGATTTCAAATCGAATTTGTGAAAAAGTCGACTTAAATCTTCAATTTAATCCTCAAAAGCCATAATTATCTGATTTTCATCAATTAGTTATGCCTCGGACCAATGAAAGTCATGAGAGTGTTCATTTTTCTCCGAAGTTGTTTACATCGAAAGTGATTTTCTACATTGTTCGAATCATCACATCAAACTAAGAAAAAATAAAACATTCTTTTTCGTAAGAAACGAAACAAATAAGGTATTAACGAATACAACATTTATGAGAATGAATACATATCTGATAAACTGTCTTTTCAAATCCTCTCTTTGCAAATGATCGTACGAAAATCTTGTTGAATGATAATGCCTAAGTGAAAAGAAATAATTTAGGAGTCTCAACATACCTTACCTTTCTCTTTAATAATTATCACATTTTATTCATTTAGCTGCAAATAATGTTGATGAAGGACGATTAACTTTTGTACTTGCTCGCTTTATACACATGAGAGAGCAGAAAAAAAGCATCTTTGTTAAAAAAAAACGATAAAAGAAATAAGCACAATGGGAGAAAAAGAAACGGATGATAAAATATAGATAGCTTCAGCAGATGACTGTAGCACGCATAATGATGAAATCTATTGAAGCCATCTATACTTTATCATATTCTTTCCTATTTTTCGTCGTGTTCTTTTCATAGGTCGTATTTTTTAACCAATATTTTTCTTTTCTGTTATATCAAGTGTGTACAAGCGATTAACATATTTATTTCAATGCAAGCTAGTGTGTATATAGGGTGTGTATAATTTGAAGAGTTCAAAGTGGTAGAGATTTTTGTCCACCTAAACGTTATTTCGTCTACTTCATCAGTTGAAAACGATGTTAACAAATATTGTGCAGATTATAGAAGCTTAATCGATACAAACATATTGAACGTGTACGTTTCAGGAATTTACATTAATCTGGCATTCTTTGTAGAATCAAGACTTCTCTATTTATTAGATTAGGTTGAAAATGTATTTTCAATATTGATGACAGTGAAATAGACAACAATTGCAGATATCGAATTTCATTGTATCAAATAAGTTCTTAGCTGTCAAAAGACAATAAAGGATGTTGAAGAAATCCTAGAGCATCCGATCGGATACCGACCGTTAGATATTCTCAAATTATAGTCATAGATTGCATTGAATCATATTGAGTAGTTTCGATCAAAGATACTTTTCATACAAACTTCAATTGAATTTACATTATGTAGTGTCTTTTAACTTTATTCTAAATAATGAATGAATAAATCAATATTTTCAATGGCTGTTGATAATTAGCAAATAATCAAGATACTAAGAAAAGAAGGATATTCAAACTTGGCAAGAGCAAAAAAGATAAATGTTTTTCTTTATATGAAATTCTTTTGAATTTTTATTCTAAATTTTTAAATTTTAGTGTTGTAATATTGATAGATGTAATTGTAATGATTTCAATTTAATCGTCTACGACTACTCTTTAGTATATATTATCTATTACTTTATACTGGCCACGATAGAACATGAGAAATAACATGACACTAACGTTGGCATAATGCAAATTTAGATTATTATAATGATAGTTGAAGCATGATTAAATATAAGAGCATCCAGGGAGATAACGAATTGAAATGCCTCCGCTGCTACTCTTGGTATATTCTAAGTAAATGTGACAAATAAAACTAAGTTTAACATTATTCGTTCAAAACTACTATATATTTGTTTGCACAAAGAAGAAGAAAAGCATATGTATGTACGAGAAAGAACAACTGAATGACATACGTATGTGAGCTATCAAAGAATAATAAAGAACAAAGATTTATGCTATAGAATCTTTTCATAATAAAATTCTGATATCGAACAAAGAGTTTTCATAAAGGAAAAGATACATGATATTGAATGAATTCAAATATTCATTTTCGATGAATATGATACGAAAAATAATTGATTATTTATAAAGTAATCATTTATCATTGATAAACACGCTAACAGAATGTGGGTGAATATATGACCCATACTTACACCATAGTTTGCTATTTGTTGCATAAGTCTTCACTATTCATGACAAACTCTAAATCATTCATTATATCACGAAGAAAGGCTGTAAATGGATGTTCAGCCGGTTGATATTGTAATTGTAGATCAAGTGCACATTGATAATGGTTCCATGCTGATTTCCAATCGTTCATATTGAGATAGATTGCAGCGATAGAAATGTATGCATGAACGATACTGGGCGAGTTAGGAGAAAGTCAACAATTGTCAATTATATCTCGAAAGCACACAATTGCCGCAAACTAATCTGGACATTTTTTCATAGATTGCTGCTTGAGTACACAGCGTGATCACCTGTTTTGTATTAGTTTATTATAAAATTTGATGTGCTTTTTTATCATCACCCAGATCCAATGCACTCCTAGCCATGTTAGCAATCAAATATGTTCGCCATGGATCATCTTCATCCAACCATAATTTGTAGATGATTAAAGCTGCTTCGTAATAAGCCATGGCATGTCCATGATCACCTTGGTGTGCTCGACAAATACGAGTTTGTATATGCATCAAAGATGGATGATTAGATGATAGGCTTTTCAGACAACTGCATGCTAATATTTTCAAGTGACGATTGACATTGTTTCAATTGGTCGTACGATAATCTGTCTTTATTCTTTGCACATTGATCTGATGATGAAACTGTTCGAATAAGTGGGATTACCAACGAAAGCGCTGTACAAATATTACTAGGAATTATCGGGTTTTCGATATTTTGCTGGAAAAATTCTACTGTCTTGTTCATATCATCTGCTCGACTTTCGCTGTCGAAAACCATGCTCATACGTTTTGAAAAATGTGCTGTAGTAAAGTTAAGCAATGGCATCATTTTGCCCAAAGTAGTTTCATCTAAGTTTGCTATTTGAAATGTTTGTTCGGCTTTCTCTTGTTCACCGATGGCGCTAAGCATACATCCAATTTGATAAAGATAGAATGCTTCACTTCCGTCTCGTGACAAAATTTCATCAGAGATAAAAGTTTTTAATTTCTGCAAAGAAGGATCATTGTATTGACACATACACAAACGAATCCAGTTTATGTAATTATTCTCGACAGTACCTACTGTCACTGATTGAATTCGCATTACAGTTCCCATTGACAAGAGTATCTCATTCTCAGACGGTAAGTAACGAAGATGGCTGATATCCGCAAATGGTGAGAAGTCTACAAGATGATCATTAGAATCAATCGAAATTTCATACACAATAGATTCCAAAAATGGACGTTGTCCACCTTCACCAGAAAACACAATAGAAGTGTCACGATCCGTTGTTGTCGACAAGAATGTGTTCATAGAGACCAGTCTACCAATATTCTGCTGTAGAATATTAAGTTCAGTCGGCGAAATCAATTGGCCACGATAGGTCATCATTTTTTCTGATGAGGTGGGGGATTAATTTTATCTGAATGAAAAACGTAAATAACGCTTTCATTTGATTGAAAATAATAAAATTTACTATTCCCTAAGATTTTATGCATCTTGATTGGTGATAATAACTTTAACAAAAGACAAAAACACTTCTTATGCTCGCTATACTTGAGAAGTGATAAAAGATTGTTTAAATGAGGTCCTAATCTTTGGTTAAATTAAAGACCTCATGCTTATCCACAATGTTGACACGAAATTAGACCGCTTATAGTGGATATAGTATGATCACGGCTGCCAAATCTTCTAATTTAGCCAGAAAACTGCTGGTTTTCAGGCTTGTCTCCTAGTGAAAAAATCTCCTGGAACCAGGAGCTGATTTTTTTACATTTTCTCCTGATTTTTCCTTGTTTTTAGGAATTTGGTCACTTTGGATTTTAGTGACACCTTGAATCAGTTAATAAAGCAACAACAAACAACTATCACAGTATTTCATAGATGCAATAACAGATAAGAAAACACGTTGTTTCTTCTTCAGCTCTCTAAAACTGAGATGATCAATTTCATAAAAGAATTTTATCGTGAAGATTTGTGTAACTGTTAATGAAAAGAAGCAACCAACTGTATATTTATCGAATGTATGCATTGCATGAGGTTCTATTTCACTGAAAAAGGTTCAAATGAAAAACTGCTCCATAGTTCTGCTTGAAAGTAACTAAACTGTATTTGTGAAAATTACAAAAGAATGGTTGTCAAATCCGTCAGCTTATTTATTTTTGCGAAACTACATATTATCTTTCTTTCTCGTCCTTATGTGTCGCTTAGAGTATAATCTTGTCATCACTGAATTGGTAGTAGAAAGAAACAGTTAAGTATCTGAACAAAAATTTCAGTTTCTTTCGAGACAATTCAGCCAAATAGTGACTTCAGTTCCATAAAGATCTACTGGTTTTTCCTACTGGTTTTTTGGTAGTCTCCTGGTCAACTACTGGTTTTATGCCGAGAAACTCCTATTTTTTTTAACTTGTGTTTGGCAGCCTTGAGTATAACTTCTTTTTCTTTATTTCACTACTCTACATAATCTGAAAAAGTTTGAAGCGCAGTCCCTTCAGGATTCAAATGTAAAAACTGATGGAGCTGTTTTAGCTGAAATGGAGACTTCGCTTGTTTCTACTTCAGTCCATTCGAGACAAAGACGCAGATATCAAAAATTCGTTCCACTATCAAAGATCGTGACAGACATTTTGGCACGTCACTTACAGTCTGAAACATCTCAGTTGGCTTTTCTGACATGTCTTTCACAGTCTGTGACATGATCACTAGAACAGCGACATGTCTGTCACGGTCTTCGAAAGGAGAGGAAGGGAGGGGATCAAATTTCTCGCTCTAAAACTTTAACACTCATTTTCAGTCGTGTTCCTCAAAATTAATTTTTATCCTAAACAATAGCACTAAGTTTTTAAAATATCGTCAAATACATTCAGATCTCTTCATCATAATCGCCTTCTGAGTTTCTCTGGAATATCTCTCGTCAAAATTTTTATTCAATCAGCTGATTCAGAATTTTCTCGAAGCCACCAAAACCGAGAGAATGGTCTGTTGCTGCCAATGTTGAGGAGCGAAACAAATTGCTCAGTTCTGATAGGCGAAAACGAAAATTTTCGAACATTGACGGGGTTGAGGGGAGGGAGAGTCAGCTCTAAGTCATCCACTCGGGATAATCCTGAGCTGTTTGTATCTGCAATACATAACGTTTAATGATTTTGTAATATAAAACATGCCAGTTATTTCTATCAGTTGATTTGACTGTTGTTTTTGTTCTTGTTGCAAATCTTTAAGCTGTTTATAAATATCTTGAATGATGAAACGAAATTTGAAAATAACGATAATAGTTTGAGTACGTAATGCTCTATTTACTAGGCAATATAAAAATGAATCACGTGTATACCATGTAATAGCATCAGTACATCGATAATTCTGTTCAAATTCATCAATCGTGCTAATTATACAGTTTGATTCTTATCATACAATCGACAAGACTCGTCTAACAGATCTTTATGTTTATTGATTGGTGGTGATGGCATACGAAGAAGTGTTTCAAGTAATATTTGTGACCACATGAAGCGTAGTTTTAAATTTTCAACATCTTTTGTAGATGTTTCTGTTTCTAACATCGTATCATCATATACATTCAAGTGACTGTATGTATTTTTGATTAGTTTTACAGTCCATAAAAGTTGATCAAGAAGTCGCACAAAATTAATAAAAACTCCTCAAACTTTCGAAGGGGAAAATTCTTGCGATTCGCTCAAATACATATATCTGATATTGTTAAAATCGTTAAGAATAGGAACGAGATAGAATCGACCGTAATCGATTCTGACAAAGATTATTTCATCTTGAATGGATAAAATATACTGAACAAAATCGTCAGCATCATTAAATATTTGAACGTTGCTCGCCACCAATTTAAGTGAATTGATGGATGCATGATCATCAACTTCAGCCATATCACTTGATCGCAACCAAACGATTACTACTTCTTCGAAATTGCTCATCATAGATAAAGATGGAATGCTGAATCAAGAATAAAAACACTCTAGAACTTTCTTCGGTAAGAATTCCATCAGAAAACTGAGAATATATGTATACACAGCTGCATGGGATATTCGCCGACAAGACTTGTGCACCGACTATTTTTCGAACCAGAACTATGACGCTGAATGTCAACTTCGTCTTGACAATTAGTCTAATAGAAAAGTATTTTCAAATCCTAATGAAAACAAATCTTAAGACATGAATTTACAATCGTTTATGAATAAATAAAAGTGCATCACTATGTTGCTTAATTGTTTCACTTGCTAACATGAAGCTATAAAAGTATATAAAAGAGGAGATAGCAAATACGAGTGTATAGAATACAAAGAGAATATAGGATATAGTGGCGATACGATGTAAATGCTTAGATACATTTGAAATACAGTGTAGATATAAAAGGAATATTCTTAGTAACATGCGATGCAGAAGTCGAGGCGAAAATGTTAAGCTCTTTTTTTGGCGGCTAGACATGTGTTTGACGAAATATTTTGTGATCATCTCATGGTCCACTCGTTTCTCTTTTGAATGACATACGACTGATTGTTACTGTCCATTCATTAAAAAAATGAAATATGGCTAAAGAGAAACACTCGCATTACGTATTTGCAACTCTTATCATAATTCTTCTAATCATTCTGTAAAAACTACAGTAAACTCGTATTGTGAAATGATCCAACAAAACTTTGAAAAGCATCGTTAAATGTATAAACAATTAATATGACCTTAGTCAACGTAAAATAGTACAATATTTTCAAACCCACCAGTCAATTATTTCACGTAATGTTCAAAGAAGAACATCTATTCTTGTTAGAAAACGTTGAAGAGATACGACAATGAATAATGAAAATCAAGAAAAGCTAGCGAGAAGAACTTGTGAAAATTGTATAACAAATTGTTGAATGATTGTGTCCTGATTTGAGATGAAGAAAAATACTTGAAATTAGCGAGAGATAACGTCAAGGGTGATCGCTTTTTAATTATGTGAGTCCAGCTTCAACTTCTCCAAACATCAAGTCTTAAAAGAAGAAAAAGATTGAACCAAAGCTCGTTCGTCGTCACAATAATCCTCCAAATGTGCCTCAGTCTCGTCCAGTTGAAACTATGCGGACTTTGCGCAAAGGAAACGTATATGAAAATAATTAGGAGACAAAACATTTGAATGCATTAGCTCGAAAAATCAAACAGAAGAAAAAAGAACTTAATCGAAAAATGTTACAAAATATGGGTGTGGGTGAACAATAGACATACCGACAGCCGCATCCACACTTTTAAATTAAAAATCTTATCTTTTCGAAGCTTTGAAGTGAATAGATTAAGCATTGATCACTCTAAATTACACTTAGTTTCGTATAATTGCCTAAGCTGAATCAGATAATGGTGTTGACTTTTAGTTTTGAATCAAGTTGATGTTGAAAGGATAAGATCTAGAAAATATCCTTTTCTAATGTTAAAAGCACTTAACTTTGCCGAATATTTCAAACTCAGTACAATATAGAGTGATCAGTAGTTAGTAGACTCATTTCAAGGATTCTAATAAAATGTTCCTAACTTCGGAATAGAAACAGTTAGAAAAAGCAGCCTTTCATATATCGACATGGAAATGCCTTTCTATTGATTGGTTAAATTGAAATTCATAGTTCAATCAGCAATTTTCGGCGGAAGTTCTTGGTCAAAATCTACACTAAGACTCTCAGACATACACATCTTGGATAGTTGAGTTGGCCACTTTCTAGTTGCTTTCGTTCTCGAGATATACAAAAATATCCGGATTTATAACATCTTAGCGCCAAGTGTTATATTTTAAACTATCTAATAAATAGGAATTTCAGTACTAATACAAATAAATTAAATCTAATGTCACAATCTGACACAAGTCGACAGAAATTAATCGAAGCTGAATATGAACCTGTTAGTTCATCGCGAAAACTTAGTTTATTACTTCAACGTTCAGTTCGTTATTCATATCGACAAAGATGTTGTAAATGTTGTCCAACAATACTTTTTGAACTTCTATTTCCAATTATTATAATACTATTACTAGCCCTGACTCGATATGGAACCAATCGACTAGCCGAAAAACAAAATAATGATGGAAGTTTACCAGGGACTTTTAGTAAACGTCCATGTTCACAAGATATCAATATTCAACCAACTTCATCAAATGATATATTTACTAATTGTTTTAAATTTCCACCGAGTTATACTCGTGGTCGTTGGAATTCACATAGCCTAGATAATATATCCAATAAAACAAATATTGTCTTTGAACCGGCCCGAATTGATGTAAACGAACTTGTTCAACGTGCTACAATACGTCTAGCTACAATAAAATGTGATAATACAAACATTTGGTAAGTTTATGTGAATAATAATAAAGAAAAGAAGAAGTTGTGGTCAACATCATTCTATACATATATGTTAAAGGAGTCAAAATCCAAATGATGAAACTGATACAGATTTATTGCAAAATAAAACTGTAAATACAGTTATAGTGGATTTCAGTGCAACATTTGATCTAAAAAAAGAACACAATCTTGCTTGTAAGTTAAATTGTCTATGAAATGCTTATTAATTATGATCGTCTAATCACTCTATATCATATATAGATGAAGGACAGCTCAATAGGATGAAAAGTAGAACATTGGAATGCACATTTTAATGAGAATTTTCAAAAATCTATTTTTCCCTTTCAAACGAAGAAGCAGAGAAAAAATTCAATCAAATCGATTATGATTTTATTTGGATGAAAAAGCTGCTGAAACATTTAGTAAACATTAGACATTTAATAGTCAATTTTAACTGCTCATTGAAATTAATGAAATGGTTATTGGTTTTTGTCTTCTTTTAGACAACATTATTGTTCGAACGCCAAACAGAGTTTTAAACAATGATCCTGTTGATATGTCATTCATAACATCTCAACATCCAGGTAAATTAACAAGAATCCTTTGTTTTCTAGCAAACATCATCATTTCAAATGCTTAGGTTATATTTCTGATCGTTCGAATATAACAGATAATAATGGTAATAAAGGATCAGAATTACCAGAATTTATTGAGGTCAAAATGTTTGTTGATTCATTACTTATGGAATATCAAACAAATCGTCAAATTCACTTTGAACTTCAACGAAATCTTATGACTTGTACACCATTTCGCAATGATTTACTTTTTAGTAAGATCACAAAAAGCGAATACATCTATTAATATCCAATTGATTATTTTACTTGTAGCATCAGAATCAAATTTGATTAACATAATTCTATTAATGATTGATGCTGTATTCATTGTTCCGTAAGCATAAGAATTCTAACTAGATAAAACTATTTGCATCTTTATTCGTAGATATTTAATTCTTTTAATAAGTTTGATTCGAGAAAAAAATGCAAAAGTGAAAGAAATTCTTAAAGTACTTGGTATCGAACCTATTCTTAATAATCTTGCACAAGGAATTCGGTAAACAAACACTACAACGAAAAATAAATTCTATTTGTTCAAACAACAATATGTTGTTTATTTTTAGAACAATGGTTATTCTATTGATTTTAGTTCTACTTTTATCTATTGTGTTTAAAATCAAACTAAATTCCAATGCTTATTTCAATACAGTTAATTTTGGTACTCTTTTTTTTTGGTAATATTATATATGGTTTACAATTGATATCATTCTGTATCATGAATGCACAATTATTTAATTCTAATGTGCGTGCCATTATATTTACAATTGTTTTTTATTATGTGGTCTATAATATCTCTTCATTTACTATTTTTTGGCCACCAGGTATACAATATGTCTTGATGTTTTTTTGTCCTTATATTGGTGGACATTCACTTTTTCAAGTAAGTAACTAATCATATAATGTTTTCTATGAGCTATTGTTTTGATTTGTTGTTAATAGCAAGCTGTATTGTATGATCTAGCAAAGAAAGATGTAGAAATATTTCAAACTATTTATCGTAATGTACCGATGTATTTTCCGACATTGATTGTTATGCTTCTTAGTTGCGTTTTTTATTGGACATTATCATGGTATTTGGAAAAAGTCTTTCCAGGTAAATAACTAGAAAAAATTATCAGTGTGGCCTCATGTGAGACGAAAGTGTAGAACTCATAAACTCTGACTGTTATAAGTTTATGGTATATTGTTAGACGGATTAAAATAATTTATTTTAAAAATTGCCAAATAAATGAATAAATTAAAATTATAACGATATTCATAATTGATATGCGCCTTCTTAAATTTCATCATATCAAAAATGTTCATATTTAGAATTACTAATTTATTAAATTCATGTAGCATCATTCTACCAAAAAACGTTATTTATATTGTCAAATAAATCTTCAATACATAACTTCTTTTCTCCTCATAACATATATGCGATAAATATATTAGTAAACATCAAATATTATTTTATTTTTCCTTTCGTCAGTTCAACTACTATATTAGCCTGTTATATATATGGATTTTATCGTTTAGTACGTTTTCGAGTACAGTATCTTTTCCCTTGACGAACTTTATCAT